TATATATATATATATATATATATATATATATATATATATATATATATATATATATATATATATATATATGTATATATATATACAGTATTATTACGTAAATGTATTTAAATTGCCCGCAACATATTTACCTATCCTTCGGAAATGAAGTCGAGTGAAAGCGAGCAAAACGAGAAATATGAGGGGAATATCATCGAAGTGATGTTTCGCAAGGAATTTGATTTGGGAAGAGATGACATTTTGACAATTTAGGGATGATCGATAGAGGCCAAGGTTAACATCAAAATTATTTGCATTTTACGATTGGTCCAAAAGTCAATATATAAAATGGAATTTCAGTGCAATTAAATAACATTTAGTGCATTGAATTATTTGAAATTAATTTGTATATTTCAATAAATTAAAATCAATTCATGAAAGAATAATTGTATTAAGAATGAAATGCTGTTAACTGATTGAAGGAAAGATATTACAGAATGATAATAATAATAATTTGTTTATAAATGATAATCTTTGATCGAGCAAAACTAGTGCTCAATTATTAAGTAAACAATAAACAAGATGGAAGAGGTAATGAAATATGCTTCTTTTAAACTGATTGAAATTTTATGGAAATGAAATATGTACTTTTAATATATTAATACGAATTATTAATATGAAATTAATATGAAATACGTCCTGAATTTTACATGATAGATACCATTTATATTATAAAAATGTGATATGTTATTTTACGATATGAATTTCATTATTATTTGAAATTATTTTCATTAATTAGAATTTTTCAATCGATTTTCTGCAAAAAGACGTAAAATGTTTTATGGGTAAGAAGAAAAAAGTTATTAGTAATAATAAATACTAAATCGCCATCGAGACTTCTTTAAAATACTAAATCGCAATCAAAAATCCTTAAAATATAAAATTACTTTTAAAATATTAAATCGTTATCAAAAATTTTTCAAAATATTAAGCCGTTATAAAAACTTCGTCAAAATATTAAATCCAAGTTATTCCTAAAACTATAATTAAAATTAGAAACTGAAAAACCGGAATTAAATATTTGAAAGTACTGAAATTATCAGTAATCAACAATAGCAAATAAAAACTCATAAATATTGTTAACAATTATATGCCAAGAAATATATTTATCATTCCATTTGATTGCACATAGATAAGTAAATCAAACAGCATTGATGATAACAGCAATGTTAATTGATTATTAAAGTTAAACGGTGTAAAGAACATTCGTATTAATTGGTTGCTTGATCGAATATTCTAGATTCTGATTAATTAATGTGAATGATAACTGATATCACCATGCTGATCCGGTCATAAAAGGAAATATTATGAAGTACTGATAATTATTGCGAATAAGAGAGCATGAAAAAAGAAAGATGGAAAAATGATCCGGAGCAGTTGCTTCTCTTATCCTTCCCCGACTCCTCGCTTTCGTTATCTTACCTCTTATCCTTCTCCCCGATCCCCGCTTTCTTTTATCTTTCCCCCCCCCCCCCCCCCCGCTTCCTTTATCATCTCTCCATCACATTCAATTTCCTCCTCTCAACTTTCATCGGATAATAAGCACGATAGTTGAAGATAAAAATGTTGAAATTTTAAATGAACAATAGT